CAGAAGTTTCAGAAGTTTCTGATCGTGAGCGTCATGCACGTCACCACGCGGGCGCGTCATGACTGAAGGGCACCTATAAATCAGCAAAAACGAAAATTAACACCCAAAACCAATCAAACTCAAGGAAAACATATTTAAACTATCACACGAAATCAAACAAATAATTAAAAGAAACAATTGGGTTGCCTCCCAATAAGCGCCTTTCTTTAATGTCTCTGGCTAGACATTATCATGTTTTGTTCATGGAGGATAAAATCTCGTGGCTCGTCTTAATGCTTCATCCTCTATGTAGTCCTGATAACCCTCGTAAATAGAATAATCCTTGAGCATACGAGTTACGGGCTTCCATGGACTAGTAAATGGCGCTAAACAAGTCAACAATGATCTGCATTCTCCACTCACTCCTCCACCACACGCATTCATCGGTTCAAGATATTTTCCATTGCCACTCTTAACTTATTCCTGTCATGAAATTTCAAATTTTCTGGTATAATAAAATCAATTTCAGTAACAGGAATTGAAGAAGATGAATTAGGAAAATATTGATTAAGGAGTGGAGAAGATGTCACCGCATTTGGAAATTGTTCACTGGATTCATTCACTTGAATAATTTGATGTTGGAGTCTCATGTCTTCCGCTTCAACTTCCTTTTCAACTGTATCTTTGGATCCTCCTTCTTGAGACTCTTGCAGTTCCATATCACTTGTCAGGATAATTGCACTCTCACCTTTCTTAGAGTCATTGATGGTCTGTGAGGGCAAGTCTGATATGAATGACGATTGTTGAGACTCTTGCAGCTGAAAACTCATTGGCCCCTCTTCATAATTAACGTTAGAGTTATCCCACCATCCTTGATCATACCGGTTTGAATAAGGGTCATACCACGTTTGAGATCGAGGTGAAGAATCTCCAAATTTTTTTTTTGAGATAGTCACTCAGGTAGTCTTGATATTCGGGGCACATACCGGTTGAATGATCCCTGGCATAACAAATTTCACAGGTTGCAGCAGCCATTCTTTCTCTAACAGAGTTTAGTGCCTCTGCATATGCAGACCTCACAAAAAAACTAGCCTCATTGCCTTCCCCGGAAATAAAATCCAGTATATCACCAAAATACGGAGTGTAAGAAGCCATAAACTAAATAAAAAAATGTAAACAAGATGAATTGAAAAAGAAACAAATAACTAGCGCCAGTCCCGGCAACGGCGCCAAAAATTGACAGGTTGTCGAAGCCTGTGCAATAATAAAACCTGCTCAAACTAAAAGTGATTTCTGTAAATAGCGGTGAGCAGGGTCGAATCCACAGGGACTGGGAGTAATTATTTCTTTTCAAGTTCACAGTGACAAGGGGGGTGTTTTGTGCAGAAGGTGACAATCAAAGAAATTCAACTAAAATCTAAGAAACTACTAAAAATTAAATAACAAATTACTAAAATCTAATGAGTGATAATTAAGGATCTAGCCAAGGAATAACTTCAGCAATGGTTCACCCAATTGATCATCGATAAGCAAAGATAATTCCAATTATTTATCAATAAATAGGTTATAACTACCAAACAAGCGATGGCAGTCAACCCCTCCTTACTGTGTCGGTGATCAAGGTACGCCCGTTAATCACTGCTCTAATTGAGAAATAATCCTAGGTACGCCCATAGAATTTAATTCCCCAATTGCCTTACGTATTAGAGGAGCCCTATTCTAACCAAATAACGCACTACCAGGGTTATTTTAGATTAGCCCGCGTATTCCCCTGACACAAACCTAATCATGCCAGTTGTCACTATTTTAGAGCAATTAAACAATTACGGATTTAATGCCCTAATTGACAATAGATTACCCAATCAACTAATTATCTGGATCCAAGACAATCAATTAATTAAATAACCATAAGTATAGCAATCAAGAAATATGCGGATACCAATAAGTAAAAGGAAAAGATTAAATTAAAACGATCTCACAATTTTAGGCGACCCAAAGCATCCGTTATCCCTTGACTAGACAAGGGAAATTAGTTCATTGTTGCTAAACAAAGCCCAAACAAAATTGCAGAGAGAGACGCAGCCATCAATTGGGCAAATGCCCAAGTTCAATTCGTTTGAAGGAGTACTGAAAACCGAAATTGCATCAGATGGTTTAATGCGTTAACTTGTCTGCTCATACCAAGGAAGAAAACGAAACTGCTACAAGCTAAAAGGTGGAAAAGCTAACAGGAAAAAGTCAAGTACTACGGCTAAGCTATCCTGCCATGCGTAAGAAAAGTAAAAAGCAAAGCTCCAGGAAAAGTCAACAATAAAGCTCCTAAGCTACAGACGAAAGACTAAGCAAAGCCAGCCATCCTTTCCTCTCTGAAGCATTCTACTCTAATGCCTCGCCATTGTGCGGCGGCTCCCCTCCGAGAGGAAGAAAATTCGAGAGAGCCCAAGAAGACTTCGGCCTCCTCCTTTTAATGCTGTCTGCGGGCCAATTACCAAGAAGGGTTGTGGTTTGATATTTCAAAAATGTCCCTAGATGCCTGCTACTTGAACTCTTTTTTGATAACTGTCAAATTGGCCTTGATTGTGATATTTTTGTTCTACTCCCTGAAATAAATATAAATTACGAAAAATGAGTAGAATCTAATAATTAATTCACATCAAGTCAGGTAATAGGGGAAATTAATAATAAAATAAATAACAAAATTGCAACCTATCAATTTTCAAAAGAAAAGGTAAAATGACTTCAATAGAGATTTTAGTTTGATGGAATCTTTGACTTGAGTTTATATAATTACTAACAAGGGCTTTAAGTCATGAACAAAGAGTAACGAGTAGTCGGCATCAGTTCGTGATTACGCTTCACGGGGTTGGGTGTCCTCTCCGCTTGACAGATTTGTATCCTGAACCAGTTCTATTGGTTCAATAAAAAATTAAATCATAATTGTGTTCACGATCATAAAGTGCTCGAATGACCGGATACTTGGCAAAGCGGTTCACGAACCCAGAGGTTAGGTACTAGACTCGGTACCAAAGTTAAAAAAGAAATCATATTTTCATAATTGAGAATAAGAAAATAAGTAAACACCTAAAAGACTTTATTTAAATATAATTCATTATTTGTTAAGAAATATCACATAACCATGAATACTTGCATATTCATAGTAAAAACAAGTTTGTAAATATCACTTATTCTATGAAACAAAAGCTAAATATATTATATAATTATCAAGTTAAACAAGTTAAGACTCTTATATTGTTGAGATAGTCAAGTATATCATCTCAAATATAAATATTTGATGAAAGATGATTATATATTCCTCTATTAATTTTAGTGTTAATTTTAGTTTTAATGGACAAAATTATAAGTATATCCTTACATATGAATTGGGTCAGGTATTTGCGATTTTCAAAGTTTTTGGATTGCGACAGAATGTACGTCCTTGTTAATCCGGTTTGCTGCTACCCGAACTACACATATTAAAACCGATTCGAGTACCCTAAATCTATGTTTTCAGACTCGGACCGGATATCGACTCGGTCAGGGTCAGGGGTCAGGGGTCAATGGGTTCGACCGGGTTCGACCGGGGGTTAAATCAGATGACGTCATAAATAAAAATTATTTAGAAATTAAAATATTATATTTAAAATATCTAAGATCATGTTAATATTAACAAAGGTATATTCATATATGTTTAATGTTTCAAATGTATTTAATAATAAAATACAAAGAAATTAGAATAATCAAGGAGCAATTTATATTATTTAATGAATATTAACAAGTTTAGAATTAAAATTATGGACTTGATTAAAAAATAACACCAAACTTTAGGACAATATTTATAAAGTATGAAATATTTGAGGTATATTAATAGTTTTTAACAACTTAAGGATCAAAACATAATATTGAAAATGTTTTGATCCTATACCAGATGAAAGTGCTTTGAAGTTTGACCCCACGCCACACCTCTCATTTATTCCTCTACTCCTCACGGTGTCATTTCATCTTCCTGCAACTCCTTTCTTCATCTTCCACGCCATTCTGCAACTCCTTTCTTCTTCTTCATCTTTTTTTTTTAATTTCATTTTCATTCTTATTTTATTAGTTATTTGTTCTCAAACCCATGAAATATCATGCTTTTATCTGATTTCTGCAAACTGTTCTCTTCTCCACGCTTTTTTTTTTTGCATTTTTGGGTCTTTTTTTATCTTTTGAATACAAGATCTAAGATTATATCTTATTTTAAAAAAGGGGTAAAACATTGATTTTTCATGCTTGAATTGAAGTCAAAGAGTGAAAATGGATTTGCGGAGGAGGCGGAGCTCACAAGGATTTGGGGTTAAGAGGTCAGGAAGGGTAAAAAAGAATTTAAAAATAGAGAATAAGAAAAACCCGGTTCGTACGGGTTCTTCAGGTTTCCGGTTAAACCTGGTCAAAACCGGGGTTTGACCGAGTCTTGACCAATCCGAGTTTTTAAGATAGCTCGGACCGGACACTTGGCCGGTTTTCGGTTCAACCAGTCGGACCGGCCGGTCCGGTCCGAATTTAAAAACACAGCCCTAAATTTGCGGTTCAGATCGAATCAATATTTACGAATTTTTGGATTTCTCTTATCAAAATAAACAGCATGTATTACATAAACTTGCATATCTTTATTACCGACAAACAAACAAAAATTTATTCCTATCATACCATAGAACCCAACAGACAACGGGAAAAAGAGGAAACCAAAGAACATTAAAGCGGTTAACAGTTGAGAATTTTTTACAATCAAAATTTAGCCAACTAATGAAATCTAATTGAGCCACCCAAAAGAAGGGAAATTGACAGGAAAAGATGTAGCCATCCAAAGACAAGGAGCTTTAGGACACCTCCTAATTTATATGTTTAGACTCGTTGCCAGCAAAAAACGCAGGAGTTCTCTCGAGGCTAGTCTGTTTTGAGAACACAACCGAAGAAAATGCTTGGTTCAACTTTCCAAATCCATGCAAGAGGACTCCTAGTAAAATTAAGAATATTGCTACAACTCAAAACTAATTTAGCAGAATCAATCTTAGTAGCAGGTGGAAATTTCCAACCCAAGATTAGATATCAGTGACAGGTTGGAATATTACCATCTATAACTTGAGAAACAGAGACTTTTAAAATTATTCAAATCTCATGAGCTCAAAACATAACAAAGTTCCTTGACTGCAAATTGACACATGTTTGAAAAGAAATAGTACACAATCATCACTAAATTCAGCAAAACGAAATTACACAAAATACCCCAACAGCAAAATATCTGAATAACCTTTAAGCGGCCGTGCATATTGATAAAATGGTGCACGGTGTACAAATCTCATTGATTGTTTCCACCGTGTCTTGACAAGAAAAGAGCCATCGATCCTTTCAATTTTCACCTCAATCTTCCACAAAAGCACCAAAGAAAGCCAGACCACCCAAATGACCTTCACACTCCCTGATGAAATATCATCAAGAAAAAATAGAGCAATAATTAGTTGTTTGTTCATCAATTTCATTGTGCTCGTGCACGCACTACAGGCAACTGAAGTAGTACAAAAAAGCTACCAAAATGTCAATAAAAATTAAACTCCCTTAAATGAAAAAAAGCATGATTATTTCTACAAGCCAATTAATGGTAACGACAAAAAAAATTACCAGATATTGCACCAGCTCAATCTATGATGATGACCTTCAGATTCTCATTTCCATTATATTCCTGTGCTTCTTCAATTTCCCTCACTAAAGATTTGACACCCTCTCCGCAAGAACTCACATTAATTGTTTCAAGAGTTGATATACGCTGTAGACAAGCAGGCATCATTTCCAAATTAGAAATGCTTTGGAGTTTTAATTGCTGAAGGCACGGGAAGTAATCATCACTGTCAGGGTCTGTCTCTATCCACTCAACAATCTTTACATATTCCAAAGTCAAGACCCTGAGTTTAGGGAATCCTCCTTCCATCAGCTCCCATTTTTGGCCGTCCATTGACTGCTCTCTTAATCTGAGGACTTCAAGATTGGGTAGTTGTTCAATCAATGACATTTTTCTACAGGGAAGACCCAGATTGGAAAGGCTCAACTCTTTCAAATTCATGGGAAAAGAAAGCTCAACATGTTCCCGTGAACCTGAGAAATACTTGCCCCCTAAGGTGAGTGACTCTAGGCATTCTAATCGACTCATGTTGCAGCATACTCTATTTCGTCCCCCACAATTGAAAATTTGAAGTTGGTGAACGTTGGGAATCCTTCTCAATATGTTCTCTCCCTCTTGATCAAGATAAAGACACAGATTTGAGAGTGTGTCTAAATCGGGTAAAGTGGAGAGGTTTTCAACAACGTTGTCGCTGGAAGAGAGAAGAATAATGCAGTTACGCTGTACATGTACATGCCTCAACTTCTTCATGTTCCAGATGCTATCTGGCAATGAAACCGTCGTGCAAGAATTTAGACGGAAGGTTTCCAAATGTGAGAGCTTGGCTATAGATGGTGGAATGAATTCCATGGGCTGAGCTGTACGAAGGGCTAAGTACCTCAAACAAAGAAGTGATTCGACTTCAGCTGGAAGCTCCTTCAACATTAGGTTAATGTCCTCTAAATTCAAAACTTTAAGACGTTTGTAGATGCTAAAAAAGGAGGAGATATTAAGCATCCCAAACTTATCTCCTCGAGTAGCATTGAAGAATAGCAGAGTATCTAAATCTGGACAAAATAGTTTTGACTTTATAAAATCTTCTTCACTGCAGCAAATGGACAACCGATGTAGGTTGGGAGGCTCATTAAAGATAGAAAGCTCATCATATCCACGCAGGATCTGAAGAAAATTTTTTTCTTTCGCCAGAGTCTTACAGAACTCTAATATCAAATCGTGAATGTAACAAGTTTTGCCTCCACCAATGGATCTGTTTTCACTTACCATAACTAAGTTTCGATGAATTAGGTCCATCAGATATTCTTCTGCAATATCCTCTGATCTCTTTCCTTCAATTATTTCCAACGAACCCTTCTGCAATCCAGAGACACATCAACTTCTTGGCACCAATTTTTTCATCCTCTCGAAATGCAGCAAAATACAGCAAGCATGCCTTCAAGTGATATGGTAAATGCTCATAACTGAGCTCCATCGACTTTTTGCATTGTTCTGCATCAGACACCGTGGTTGAACTTAAACTTTCAGCAAATCCTTCCCAAACACAAATATCATGCTCTATAGTTGCTAGGACTCCAGCTGCAACAACAATTGAAAGTGGCAATCCTTTGCACTTTTTGGCGATCTCCATTCCCAATCCATGAAATGCTTGAGGACAATCTTCTTTTCCAAAAACCTTCTTCTGCAGTAATTCCCAACTTTCTTTGTCATTGAGTGGGCGAAGATTGTGAGGTTTCCCCCCATATTCAACCTGTGAAGCCACATTAGAAGATCGACTTGTGAAGATGATTCTACTTCCTTTCTTGTCATCCGGGAATGAAATTCCCAGCTCATTCCATACTTCAATGTCCCAGACATCATCAAAAACAACAAGATACCGATTCCCCTTCAGCTTTTGGTAGAGCTTTTGAAGCAACGCATGTTCATCCAGATTTTGAAACTCATCATCCATCCTCGAATGTTTGCCATCAGAGTGTAAAATTTGAAGTAACACATTTTTCATGTTATAGGCTTGAGAAACTATACACCAAAGACGAATGTGGAAGTTATAGATTACTGAACTATCATTGTAAACTTTTTGGCTAAAGTTGTCTTACCAAGCCCAGCCATTCCCACAATGGGAACAATTTCCACCTGTTTTGATCCGCTTACAAGTCGTTCAATTACTTTTTCTGCCTCATCATCAAGACCAACCATGACTTCATGGGCTATTGGCATTTTACCTTTTGATAGCATGTGGGTGGAAGTCTTGCTAACTTCTGGTGCTCTTAAGCTATGAAAGGAAGGAAGACTTTCAATAACGCTTGAGCCACTGATCTGATCCTTAAAATGCTTGAGATGGGTGTTGGTATTAGCCAGCATATCACAACAGTCAAGGACCTCTGTGGATTCTAAGAAGCTAACTTCTCCTTCCTTCACTCTGTTTAGGGAAGGCAAGCAAATTATAATGCCTGCCTCACAAAGAAGAGCACCAATTTTTTCGTTTTGCTCATTCATCTTCTCCTGCTGCTCCCTTAAAATGCTTCTCAAAAACCTCAGTCCTGCATAGAGTATTGGCATCTCATCTTTCATAGAATCCACAAAGCTAGAGCTGCAGCATAACAACTCCCAGAGACGACTTATCAGAGAATCATTGAAGTTGTTCAATATCTGCTTATCCATCATTCTATTATGCAATGATTTTGAGGATCTTGTAGCTTTAAGAACTTCCATATAAATCTCATAGACTTGAAAATCAATAGGTGTGATTTTCTGTTGTTGCTCATATATCTTGGAGCAGAACTGAGGATTGCAGAACTCATCATCCCAACAAGAACACATGTAAGAAAGGCGTGCTGCGTTCAAAGTCACCACTTCAAAGTGAGCCAACAGCAAGGCAGGAATATCTACAGTTCCTCGCAATTTGGCAAAGGGAATGAAGCTTTTCAAGAATGTTAGCTTTGCTTCAAGGGCTTGGACTTGAGCACCAACTTGGGGATCCATTTCAACAATACACAAATCGCTAGTTGTTAAATCCGCTAGATTTTGTAGAATGAGGTCTATAAATTCCATTAGTTCATCAACTGGCATGCAAGAATTTGATTCCAATGATCTGCTGCTTGCCAAAGTAAAGTAAACTTGGATGATTTCTTGCTTAAATGATTTGATCTGTTTTAAAAATTTAAAAAGCACTTCATCGCCAACATCACGTATGCCACGTGCATCAGGTTCCAACATAAGGCAAAGAGAGTGAATGTCCTCCTCATATTTGTAAACGGTATCTTCAATGCAAGATAAAAAAGACGGAAGACTCACCAAGTCCAGATCATTGCAGTGGCTCCACTTTCTTGCACACATAACAAATGTTCTGAGAAATGTTATGTTCAGGTACGCAGCTTCAATTTTGAGAAATGTTACACCCACGTACGCATATCCAATTTTGCCTGTTCGGAACATGACATTGAGGTCGTCCATAAGCAACTTTAGATCAAGGAAGACCCGATCGACGCTGCAAGTGGAGGCCACGTCCATCTGTTGTGCAGGGATTTTTCCTTAGTTTCACTCTCAAATTTTAAGGGGGAAAAAGATCTCGCCGACTGCAGAGCAAGCAGCCTGAAAATTTTTTTTTTTTCTGGTGGGAAGGTGAAGAAGAGAAATGAGAAAATAAATTATTCAACAGACAAACGGAGCAAGATCAAGAAAGAACAGGTGAATCAAAGTTAACGAGAGAGCGATCAAATAATCTGGAAATATTGACTACCACTGCATAGTTTTTTGGAGTTTTTTTTTTTTTTAAATACTCATTTCGTTGTTGAGAAGTGGTCTGGCATTCCCTTTGTACAATTTTTGAAATTATCCCACTGTACATTTATATTGACTCAAATTGAAAATAACTAAATCAATAAGGGAAAAAACCTTCCGAAATCTAAAGTGGAATACGTGCAAGTGGTGGGTCGGGTTTCATAGAATTATTCCATCTCCACACAATGAGGTGCGGTTCCACGGACCAGAATTATTGCTGCACGTCCCTGTCCCTGTTTTTGCAATAATTCCATAGTTTAATATGTTAAACTTTATAATTGAGAAGTTTGCTGCTACGTCACCGCAAAGGATACTCGGAGGCATATGTAAGTGGGGGGCCTCACAGCCGGTGAACAACTCTTTTGTCTTTTAGAGAGCTGTTATCTTATTTAGCGTGGGTATATTAGGAAGAACCAAAAAAAATAAAGAACCATCAAAATATAAATGATCCAGAGACTTTTATTGGGAGGAGTATAGAGATATAAATACAAATATAGCTTTAACTGGTTTCTTTTCATTTTTTTTTTATTTTAGCATGAATCTTCCTGCTAGCTCTCTAGTTTTCTTTAATTGTTTTCCTTCTTGAGCAAACCACTAAATTTGATCACTTTCTCTTCTAATTGTCTCGTATTAATAATCATGACCATTGATCTTGGAGATTAATAACCATGACCAACAAAGTAAAGAGTCTGAGAAAAAAAAATTGAGGGCTACTTCAACCTTTCAAATTGTGGAAGCAGAGAATTCGAGATTTCTGCAATTACTAGTGTCAATTATATCATAAAATATATGCATTACCATAATAAATGTAAACTCTAAGATAATAAATATAAACAGTAAAACAATAACGTGCAAAATTCATGTTACCGGAGTGCATTAATGTTACCAAAATACTATAGTCAAAGAAATGATTGGATTAAATAAGTGGAATTTTCTACTAGTTAGTAGTATTACTTCTTTTCAAGGGCCTGGACTTAAATACACGCTAATTATTTGTATAAATTTATTTACTTGCATTATAAAAATATTTTTTAATTATATTTTTATTTCACATATATCACATTAAAATAGTGATACAATACTTTTTAAAAATATTATTCCAAATAATCTCACATTCAAACACAAGTATATGCCCATTTCAGTGTTACTTGGACCATTGGAAATTAATTTAAGTCTTTTCACTGGTCTTTCTTCCACATTCAGGGGGTCCATTTGGAAAATGAGCCAGAAGGGGACTGGTTGTTCTTCGGGTCAAGCACGGCATGCCCATATTTTTAAATGTTAGATATCAATTCTTAAATATTTTTAAATGTTGACGAAGAATTAGTGATAATAGTCTCAAGAGTCATAACCGAAACGCATGCTAATCCAAGCATACACTGTTACAGCTTATTAGAAATCAAGTCAACTCTAGTCTTTCTTTCACATTCAGGGGTGATAGGTCATAATTTATTGCTAAATTAATAATTATTTTTCTCTTGATTTTAGCCAAATATTATTTTAATTGATAGATTCTACTTATATTTGACTAATGGTGCTAATTGTAGGAAAATGAGCAAAACATGATTAACAAGTGATAATTTTCCAGTTAATTTGATTGTGGTACGTTCGGAACCTACATGCATATTAGACAATCTCCAAATCCGAATCAATTTCCTAATTTGATAACTATCAGGACCTTTCTGATTTCAGGGGATCATTCTCAAGTGATTGGGAGAGTTTTTAGGAAATTAAATTGTAATAGGAAACAAATTCCTTTAATTTCGTGGCTACCAACGGGAGGAGGAATTAGACTCCCAGGAGTTTTGCTTGGCTTTTTAATTTCCGTTTGGCTTTGCTATGTGGGGACCATCGAGAGAAAGCCACGGGGTGGACCCTTGTATTTGGGCTTCTAGCTAATTTGGGGTTGACCAAGACAAAGAAGGAAAAGAAGAAAAACTTTTCTCTCGTATGCTTGGAGGAGCCGTCATTGTTGACTTATTTGGCTCTTACTTTTACTTTTGTTATGCAACAATCGAAGGTTTCGAACAGTTTTTTCGCATGGTTATTCTCCATTAATGGAGGACTAACCTCCTAATTCTTGTCAAGGGGATAACTGAAGATTTGGTTTAATAATTACTGTAAAATTTAAATTATTTTAACTGCTTCCTCTATTTATTGGTATTCGTATGTTTTCTGCTTTTAATTATTGTTATAGTTATCGTATATGATTGAATAGATGCGCAATATTTAATTATTCACATAGGCTATTGTGCTAATTAGAGTAATTAAATTCGTAATTGTTCGTTATCTCTATCTAAGTAGCAACTGGCATAATTGGATTTATGTCGGGGGAACATACGTGACAGGTGCCGAACCTGTGCAATAATAATAAATAGAACCTAATTACCACCAAAAGTAGCCAATAATTAATTTTAGGTACTGGAGCAGGGACTCTAGGTGTGCAATGGGTTACTTGATTCACCCTATTCCCGAAGAGTTTGCTTAACCCAATATACCCGAATTAATTATCTGACTAAATTTACTAACTAATAGACAGTGACAAGCAGGGTCGTCTTCT